GCGATCCATGAGCTGGTTTTGTGTGCATTTCCAAAACTGACTATTTTCTTTCTTTAATTCACTACAAACATTTCTCTGCCTAACACAACTTATTATTACTACATGTCGGGGCTTTTATTGCATAATCTTGGCATCAGCTGCAAAACGCAACAGAGTGCTCCCAAAATGTATCTTACACAGAAAACCAAAAAAAGATGGAAGAGGCAATTCCAGCAAAACATCTGTGATGACATAGCCCATTATTTTGTCAACAGTGCAAGTGTTTGATGGCATAATAAAAGGATACACTTTGCTTAGCAAAAACATTAAGGGATAACAGCCAAGTTAAATAAGGTGCGATTAAAGGTTTGCTTAACCCACGGGATTCCACTTCCAGAAAAATAAAAATAGAGCTGTTTTTATCCCTCCTTCCAAGTTTTATTTGTGTGCTCTTATTTGGGGGTTAAAAATATCACTTTAAGAAAAGGGAGAGTGTTTTTAGAATTTATGTTTCATACCAAGAAAGATAAAGTTTTGTAAGTTAATCATAATAGCCACAGAATTCTGAATTGCAAAGGGGAGAAATCAAGCCCACCTGGGAGAAGAGATAACAGGAATTAATCATGTGCAAACTGCTTTGAGGGGAAAAGAGTGCAATCCAGTTTACAGACTTATTTTAAATTATTCCTGAACACTAATTTTCTGCTTCATTTTACTGGCATAATTGATGCTATATTCCAGCACATCTTGGAAATACACTGCAACAAGAGTATTTCCTTCTGATACATGTTTTTTTCAAATAAATAGCAAAGAAATGGTAATTTTTTTACAGCGTATTTTTCATATGAAAATTGACTTATATGTTTTTGTGCACTTTTTTGTGCTGTGTTTCCTCTCTGTAAGCAAATACCAAATTCTAAAATCAGGTCAGGATTGTATTGTTTACAGCATGTTACTGCACGGGTAAGCTTGGCATTCCATTCCAGTGGCGTTTGAGAGTGTCCAAAAGAAACTTTATTTAAAGACATTTATCACAGATGGCTAAAGGTGTCTGTAGAAGTTAAAACCATGCAATTTTTTTCTGAAATATGTACAGGAGTACATAATGAAAAATAAATGTTGCTGGGTACAAACACCAGGAATTTATATAGCGTCTTTCTTTCCAGAAGAGAAAGTATAAAAATAAAGTAAAACTTGAGGCTTTTGACTGTCCACTGGAGTACAATTGTTATTGCACATAGACAGTCCAAAGATCATGTGTCTTCCAGTGTGAAATACAAAGAAAGAAGCAGCATTAGATAAACCTTGTTTCCTGGCAGAAATTGCATAAATTTCTCAGTTGGAAGTCCTGCATAACACCAAGGAAATCACTGAACTGGCACCTGATTTACATTAGTATAAATGAGTGCAGAATGGCTGTCGTAGATGTTTTTGTCTTTTCTCCTTTCCCTGTGCTGCATATTAATCCTTGAGAATATAGGAGGAATTATTAAAGGTGATCCATCAGATTCCTCTAGACTCAGTTTTAAAGGCAGTCTAACACGGTGGCACTATAAACTGCCCCCTAGTTAGTGCTGTACATGCCTTTCCTGCAGAGCTGCTTCAAAGCGACACAGTTCTTTACAAAAAAAGAGCCTGAAAATGTTAAAATTGAGTTTATAATTAATTTATTTTTGTCTCTCAGATTCTCACATTTGGTTAATGCAGTCCTCAGTTCAGCTTGTAATGGACTTGTGACAGTTCTGGACTTTGTGAACCTTCGTAAACCTTCTGTCACTGGGCACCTGTGGATTCTCTCTCTGTGCCCTTAATGTTGTCTGTTGCTATTCACAGTCTTTTTTATTTTATTTTATTTTCAGTCATGTGATGCAATCATCTGAGTTCAGTTCAGAAGAGTCTGTTGGGCTGCCAAAGCCAAAAGACAACCTACGGCAATTCTGAGTTGTGGAAGAGGCATAGCAACCTTTGGGATTATTGCTTAGCAACTGCAAACACATAGAGGAGTAAAACTCACAGCCCGGCTCCACCGCAAGTCTGAGAAATCCCTAATTCACTTTAAGATTTTTAGTGGTTAAATTCCTGTTCATTTGCAAAGCCACTTTGAAAACAGAAGGAATAAGATCAGTCTTGATACCTACTCCAAAGGTAAGAAAAACAGTTCTTCAAAGCTTCAGAAAACAAAAGAGGAAGTATTTTTAAATTTTAATTGCATTGAGAAGAAGATCATATATGAAAACGGTGTTGGGCTCTTTGTGACTGGTGAGATAAACATGCTCTAGGAAGCATGTTAGGGAAAGGCAAAATTATTTCTGAGCAATAGAGCATCAAAGAGATTGGACTCTGGTTTTAAAAAGACCTGTAACCCAAAAATCTCAAAAATATTTACCTAGACAAACTTTAGTCTTTCCTGGCCCTGTCCATCAAAATCCCCTAACAGAATAACAATGAAACCATAAAAATCATATTTATGGGCAGATTTGGATTTTGAACAGCAAATGGGGAGATAATCTTTTTGTACCTGCAGGGATTCCAGCAAGAATATATCTCTCACAGAAAAGGAGCCAGGAAGGTGGCATCCTACTAAATAATGAAGAGCTTATCTTGCCTTCAGCTTGAACAAAGGCTTACAGGAAACTTTATATCACATTTCAAATTTCCTGGGTCTTTCTAAAGCTTGTCTCTGTGCACCATGCTTAGTATTATTTGGACAATCAAGCCTCCACTTGGAATGTCATAGGCCAGGAGAGCTCTCTTTGGCTCATATTATGGGCCAAATTCTCAACTGATGTAAACCAGCACTGAAGTTTATGAGCTGATGGTGTCTTATACAAACTAGATGTGTGGCCCTGTAATCCTCAACAAATTCAAAGATTCAGGGCTTGATTGTAGCACTCCTTTGTTGTTTATTTTACGTTATGTGCTGTTTGTATGTTCTTCCATACCCTCTTAGTCCTCTTAAAGCAGTGGGCATAGATCTCTGTGCTCTGCTTCCATTCTTGGAGTTATGCGAATGCCATGGAATTGAGAAAGAACAGTCACACTTAGTTTTTTGTTTTGTTTTGTTCTGTTCAGAGACATAGAGATACTTTATAAACAATTAGTAATCCTCAAAGTCATCCTAACAACTGGTTGAGAGCAGTGTACAAAATACATTCATCATCATTCAGAATCAGGCACCTCATAAAGCAGAGTGCAGTTGTCACTTTAACATTGCGCAGAAACTGCAGAGCGGTTTCATAAAGGATGTTAAAAAATAACATAAGTATTTGAAACTGCGAGAACAGTTTATTTTGGCACAACAAAACCAGCTGATTTGGAATGTGACCAGAACATTTGGTTAACACCCTGCTTTGAACCAGAAAGAGTCTGGTTTTACAGCTTAGGGAAAG